CGCTGGGGAACGATTCAGCCTCCTATGCTATCGTTAAGAGGTTGGCAGCTGTATTTAAGCCTGGGAGAGGGGGCCTTGAAGGCCTGTCACTTCAGCAGAGGCATAATGAGAAGGCATAACATGGTGATGACCAAGGAATGACTGAGCATCAAATTGCTAGTCCAGCAGGTATTTCGCGGAGAGAGTACAATCCATTACCACGAAACTTTGGCATTGAAGAAAGTATCATTTCGTTGGGTTCCAAAGCTTCTGACTTCTGATAAAGAACGCACGTGGCATATTATGTATCGTGATAATCTAGCTCTATTTGAAGTTGATCCATAAAGGTTCTTGCAACGATGTATGACTATGTGTGAAACCTGGATTTACCCGTTCTAGTCCAAACAACAATCGAAACAGTAGAAGCATTGACATCACCAACAGCAACACCACCACCAAAGAAGGCAAAGACTGTCCCATCAGGTGGAAAGGGTATGGCCTGCGTTTTCTGGGCGTCACCTAGATGACCTTTTTCCAAAAGGCCAGACAATAAACGGAACATTTGCTGCACTTTTGAGGCAATTGCGGGGCGAAATTAAGACTACGAGACGTGGAAGATGTCAAAGTTGAGCTATTCCATCCACACAATGCAAAAAGCAATCGTTGCCATGCCTGTCCACCCAATCTGGTTAGTCGCCTCCTACGATAAGTATGGGTTGCTAATGACAAATTCTAAAACGGATCTTCACTGGGGTAGAACCATGGGTTGATGAAGATCCTCACGGGGCATATTGTGTGAGATTAAAAACTAATGCAATCAATGTGAGACCCGATAAACATTTTTTCAATACATTTTCCCACACAGTTAAAGTTTAGTTGCTTCAATAAAAAATCAATTGTTATCAGCATTTGGTTTCGTGCCTTATTAATTTGATGGCGTTTGCAATTTTCTTATCAGTGAATATCGCTATAATTAAGCATCATATCAATAAATTATATTTAAAACGTATTAAAATATTTGAATTTGAACCGTTTTAGTCCTTGTGAATATCGATAGTTATTCGTGAAGGTTAATAAATGTTAAAGGTGTTCTTCGGGCCCCTTGTCATTTCCTTTGATCGATTTATGAACATACTGCGTAGGTAGTGTGTGCTGTTGACCTTCGTCTCCAACCCTTTGCTTGCCTACGTGATCTTGTGCAGGAAACTTGATATCGCACGTTTTCGTGAATCAGAACCTCGTATCAACACTGAAAACTGGTGATGATGACCTTCTCACGACAGTTGGGGGTGACGGATAGGGTTGGTGGTTAGAAATGTACATTTCGAAAACACCTGGTATCATTTTAGTTATCACAATTATTGGATGATAGTGTTGTATCTAGTTTGGTTTGTCACTTCCGGGTAGTAGTTTAAATGTACTCTTCCTGGTATGTGTGTTTTTTTCAAGCAGGAGAAAAAAAGCATATTCAGCCATGGGATTAACCTTAACCATATCGCAAACACTTAGTGTCATATCTGATTTTCACTGCACCATTCATTACTTTTTTGCCTTTTATGCTCAGTAGAATCAGTAGATTATCGTGACTGATCAGTTCCTGGTGTTGACACTATGGTGATTACACTTTAGATTCATATAACTACTTTCAACACAGAATTCAGTATATATCAATGTGGATATTATTTTGATCTTTTTTGAAGCGAGATGGTTATGTGACAAAATATATAGATGATTAGGATTTCATATGAACTATCACGAAATATCACGTTACACACGTCGCGAAGTCTTTATCATTTTTGTTTGCATGGCAAAGGCAAGGAAAGGTGAAGGGGTGAAATAAGGTGAAAAATGTGAATTCCTTCAAGTGATATGGAGATAATTTGGTATGTTTTTATCTATCTTTTTATCTGTTTGAAGCCGTGGTATACAAGAAGAAAGTCAAGTATACTACTCAAAAGAAGTTAAGGATCACCTGATTCTTTCATATTACTATAGTTAATCTCTTATGTCATGACAGATTAACTTTACCATTATGAAAGAATCGGGTGATCCTTAACTTCTTTTGAGTAGTATATTACAAACTACGCATGGCTGCCACCGTGTAATCATGGCCACCTGTACATACAAGGCAAGTACAAACGAGGTTAATGACGGCCAGGCCGGTCAACACGAGGTAGTTATCACTGCACACAAGGGATTAATGACACCTTCAATGTAACCAAGGTCATCACAGTAACACGGCGTGGGTCATTGTCGAGAAGGAAGAAAAACATGATTGTAAATTACAAGATCGTGTCCATTGAGGATTGCCGTTATTGCATCAGTCGACGTGTTTTGGTAGAATGTGAAATGACGGCACGACTTGCCATTGCCGTAGTATTGTCAGTTAAGCCGTTTGTATGTATGTATGTATGTATGTATGTATGTATGTATGTATGTATGTATGTATGTATGTATGTATGTATGTATGTATGTATGTATGTATGTATGTATGTATGTATGTATGTATGTATGTATGTATGTATGTATGTATGTATGTCAACATATGATTGAATGTATGTGCACCAACATATGATTGCATATAAGTATGTCAACATATGATTGAATGTACGTGTATCGACATGTGATTGAATGTAAATTTATCAACATATAATTGAATGTAAGTGTATCAACATGTGTTTAAATATAAGTATGTCAACATATGATTGAATGTATGTTCATCAACATGTGATTGAATATAAGTATATCAACATATGATTGAATGTGTGTGTATCAACATATGATTGAATGTATGTGCACCAACATGTGATTGAAAAAATGTAAATGTATCAACATGTGATTTAATATAGGTATGTCAACATATGATTGAATGTATGTGCACCAACATGTGTTTTAATATAAGTATGTCAACATATGATTGAATGTATGTGCACCAACATGTGATTGAATTTAAATGTATCAACATGTGATTTAATATAAGTATGTCAACATATGATTGAATGTATGTGCACCAACATGTGATTGAATATAAGTATGTCAACATATGATTGAATGTAAATGTATCAACATATGATTGAATGTATGTGCACCAACATGTGATTGAATGTAAATGCATCAACATGTGGTTTAATATAAGTATGTCAACATATGATTGAATGTATGTGCACCAACATGTGATTGAATATAAGTATGTCAACATATGATTGAATGTACGTGTATCGACATGTGATTGAATGTAAATGTATCAACATATGATTGATTGTAAGTGTATCAACATGTGTTTTAATATAAGTATGTCATCATATGATTGAATGTATGTGCACCAACATGTGATTGAATATAAGTATGTCAACATATAATTGAATGTACGTGTATCGACATGTGATTGAATGTATGTGCACCAACATGTGATTGAATGTAAATGCATCAACATGTGATTTAATATAAGTATGTCACCATATGATTGAATGTATGTGCACCAACATGTGATTGAATATAAGTATGTCAACATATGATTGAATGTACGTGTATCGACATGTGATTGAATGTAAATGTATCAACATATGATTGATTGTAAGTGTATCAACATGTGTTTTAATATAAGTATGTCATCATATGATTGAATGTATGTGCACCAACATGTGATTGAATATAAGTATGTCAACATATGATTGAATGTACGTGTATCGACATGTGATTAAATGTAAATGTATCAACATATGATTGATTGTAAGTGTATCAACATGTGTTTTAATATAAGTATGTCACCATATGATTGAATGTAAATGTATCAACATATGATTGAATGTATGTGTGTCAACATATGATTGAATGTGTGTGTATCAACATATGATTGAATGTATGTGCACCAACATATGATTGAATGTAAATGTATCAACATGTGATTGAATGTAAGTGTGTCAACATATGATTGAATGTATGTGTGTCAACATATGATTGAATATGTGTATCAACATATGATTGAATGTATGTATGTCGACATGTGATTGAATGTACGTGTATCGACATGTGATAAAGTGTAAGTGTATCAACATGTGATTGAATGTACGTGTGTCAACATATGGCTGAATGTATGTGTATCGGCATATGATTGAATGTAAATGTATCAACATATGATTGAATGTATGTGTGTCGACATGTGATAAAATGTAAGTGTATCAACATATGATTGAATATAAGTGTGTCAACATATGACTGAATGTATGTGTGTCCACATATGATTGAATGTGTTTTATCGACATATGATTGAATGTAAGTGTATCGACATATGATTGAATGTAAGTGTATCGACATATGATTGAATGTAAGTGTATCGACATATGATTGAATGTAAGTGTATCGACATATGATTGAATGTGTTTTATCGACATATGATTGAATGTAAGTGTATCGACATATGATTGAATGTAAGTGTATCGACATATGATTGAATGTAAGTGTATCGACATATGATTGAATGTGTTTTATCGACATATGATTGAATGTAAGTGTATCATTATGTAAGTCTTTTGTCGTGTATATTACGTCGTCATAATTAAATAGAACACAGACATCTCGCCCACTTGGTTCAGTACTTAGCAATCACCGTCGTATAGAATTATATACTCTGTACGACAAGCAGAAAAAATACTGATGCAATAAAACACGCACAACTACAACCATATTTAAAAAATATATATAGATATTAACATCACCACATATAATCATCAATGGAATAGGCATACATGATAATAGCACCTTTGTACACACATTAATATCCCTTACGTCAACTTATCAATATCCTTTTTTTCCCAGGGAGATTGAAGGATCGTAGAAATAATTTCCTGAACAATATGAAATGACGTCATTTGACGAGAGATCTTACCATGTGTATACATTAGGCATGACATTTTAACGAAGTCATAGCCACGATGCGGATGTAATCTAACCCATCACAAACACCCAAGCCCTTAGATAAAACGTTTGGTACAGAGACAGAGACACGTCATTTGAAGGCTCACCTGTAGCGTTAAGTATCGTATCTGGTTTCCAGGTAGGTCAAGCTCGCCAACATATGGTTTAGCCAGACATGTTTCTGCCGACACGCTGACAAGGGCAAAAAGAATCTTGATCAAAGTTCATGTCACGATGTCAAAAGATTGTGGCCTGAATCTTTGGCTTGACTATGTCACCACAAGGCTGAGGAGCGGCATTGCCAGACCTTCAGCTAACCGGTGTCGTAAAACACCCGTTACTATAGCAACTGTTTATACGCGCAGGTAACACTGGCCTCGTCGAACTTATCTCCTTGCCTGCGTTACAATAGCTTATCGACCAGGAGATCGACAGTTTAGATGTCTGAAATCCGCTGTTTTGCGTTCAATATTTCAGCGTCGATAGGGCATTGTCAGTTGGTGTTCGCACCACTTGTCCGTAAGATCTATATCTATGATATAATTAGAACAATGAGCGTTACACTTGGCTCGAGTAACCCCGGTTCCCTGAGGAGAAAGCAGAGTATACAACGCAAAAGCTTTGGCAATCGTTCGTGTTTGGCTTAGAATATATGACATACAGTATGTGACACTATTTATAAGATATATTCCAAATATCATGCTTTTGCTGATCATAATGTGCGTGATAGCGATTTGAATAATGAACAATCAATGCATTGATTTGGCTCTTCGCGAACATGCCATGCGTTCGTAATTCAACCTTGATAGTTATTTGTAGCATGTGTCAATATTTTGCTCTCGTTGCTAATGCATATAGATGAAGCTCATTGATTGATTCGAGCGCAGGGTAACTGAGATACAGGTCACATTAACACAATCACGTTGCAGGACCCCCTACGCCTTACGCAAACATATACTCGTTACACAAACATATATACGTCACTGAAACACAGGCACATTACATAAACTCATGCACGTTACAGAAACATATACGCGTTACACAAACATACGCACGCTACAGAAACATGTTTACGTTACTAAACTTCATGCACGTTACAGAAACACACACGCGTTACAGAACCATATGCACGTTACTGAAATACAGGCACATTACAGAAATACATGCACGTTACAGAAACATATACGCGTTACACAAACAAATACTTGTTTCTGAAACATATGCACGTTAGAGAAACACATGCACGTTACAGAAACATATACGCGTTACAGAAACATATGCACGTTACAGAAACATACACATTACAGAAACATATACTCATTACAGAAACATACACGTTACAAAAACCTATACACATTACAGAAAAACATGCATGATACAGAAACATATACTAATTACAGAAACATATACACATTACAGAAACATATGCACATTACAGAAGCATATACACGTTACAAAATCCTATACACATTACAGAATCATATAGAAAATACAGAAACATAAACACATTACAGAAACATATACGCATTACAGAAACATATACACATTAGAGGAACATATAAACGTAACAGAAACATACACTCATTAAAGAGACACATACACATTACAGAAACATATACACATTGCAGAAACATATACACGTTACAAAACATATACACATTAGAGGAACATATAAACGTTAGAGAAACATATACACGTTACATACACATTAGAGAAATATACACATTACAGAAGCTTATACACATTACAGAAACATATACTCATTACATACACATTAGAGAAATATACACATTACAGAAACATATACTCATTACAGAAACATATACTCATTACATACACATTAGAGAAATATACACATTACAGAAGCTTATACACATTACAGAAACATATACTCATTACATACACATTACAGAAACAAACACATTACAGAAGCATATACACATTACAGAAACATATACTCATTACATACACATTACAGAAATATACACATTACATAAGCATATACACATTACAGAAACATATACTCATTACATACACACTACAGAAACATACACATTACAGAAGCATATACACATTACAGAAACATATACTCATTACATACACATTACAGAAATATACACATTACAGAAGCATATGCACGTTACAGAAACATATACACGTTACAGACACATATGCCCATTACAGAAACATATGCACATTACAGAAACATATGCACATTACAGAAACATATGCACATTACAGAAACGTAAACGTTACAGAAACATATACACATCACAGAAACATATACACATCACAGAAACATATGCCCATTACAGAAACATATGCACATTACAGAAACATATGCACATTACAGAAACATATGCACATTACAGAAACGTAAACGTTACAGAAACATATACACATCACAGAAACATATACACATCACAGAAACATATACACATCACAGAAACATTAAAACGTAACAGAAATATGTACACGTTACAGAAACATATTCTGATTACAGAATCATATACACATTACAGAAAAATATGCACGTTACAAAAATACATGCATGTTACAGAAACATATACACATTACATAAATATATAAACGTTACAGAAAGAAACATATACACGTTACAGAAAGACATGCATGTTATAGAAACATACACATTACATAAACATATAAACGTTACAAAAGCATATACATATTATAGAAACACATACACGTTACAGGAACATATACACATTACATAAAGATATAAACGCTACAGAAACATATACAACTTACAGAAACATATAAACGCTACAGAAACATATGCATGTTACAGAAACATATAAACATTACAGAAACATATAAACATAACAGAAACAGTTAAACATAACAGAAACATATAAACATTACAGAAACATATAAACATTACAGAAACATATAAACATAACAGAAACAGTTAAACATAACAGAAACATATAAACATTACAGAAACATATAAACATAACAGAAACATATACACATTACAGAAACATATACACATTACAGAAACATATACACATAACAGAAACATATTCACATTACATAAACATATAAACGCTACAGAAACATATGCATGTTACAGAAACATATAAACATTACAGAAACATATAAACATAACAGAAACATATAAACATAACAGAAACATATAAACATAACAGAAACATATAAACATAACAGAAACATATACACATAACAGAAACATATACACATTACAGAAACATATACACGTTACAGAAACAAATACACATTACAGAAAGATATAAACGTTACAGAAACATATACACATTACAAAAACATATAAACATAACAGAAACATATAAACATTACAAAAACATATACACATTACATAAACATATATACACATTACAGAAACATATATACACATTACAGAAACATATAAACATAACAGAAACATATAAACGTTACAGAAACATATACTCATTACATAAACATATAAACATAACAGAAACATATAAACACACAGAATTATATAAACATAACAGAAACATATAAACATAACAGAAACATATACACATTACAGAAACATATACACATAACAGAAACATACACACATTACAGAAAGATATAAACGTTACAGAAACATATACACATTACAGAAACATATACACGTTACAGAAAACAACCATGTTACAGAAACATATACATGTTACAGAAACATATACGCATTACAGAAACATATAATCGTTACAGAAACATATATATGTTACAGAAATAAGACCATGCAAATAACTGCTCGATTGCCGAAATACTGGAAAACATTGTACATTCTGACATTAAGTGGGTGTTAATTGATGTTACTGTCAGGCAAAGTCGGCTCATTTATTCGATATATCGTTTAAGGCGAGGTGTAATCAAGGTCCCAATAATCCTTATTAGCCACTGTAACGCCACCTGCTTATCTGGTACAACGGACAACGCTTGGTTCCCAGGAGTCGACTTAATGTTGTAGTTACATATAACGTGCGTGCGCTTTGTTTGTTTGTTTGCTTTGCACTCAGCAATCTTCCAGCTATATGACTGCGGTCTGTAAATAATCGAGTCTGGACTAGACGATCTAAAGACTGACATCATGAACATCGATCTATGCAATTGGAATACGATGACATGCATCAACCAAGTCAGCCAGCCTGACCACCCGATCCGTTTAGTCGCCCCTAATGAAAGTATGGGCTCCTCTTTAGACAAGCATAGGTTGCTGAAGACCAATTCTAACCCGTATCTTCACGGGTGACATGCGTCATGTCAGAAATAGGACATGTTGTGTGGGTAGCTGTGCTGTATAATATATAGATATAGAGTTGCAGCTAGCAGACTTTTGTGATTGGTTATGAAGATTTGGGAGTATTATTCGAGAAAAATAGTACTAATTATCCTGTTTTGCACGAATATACTTTATAAATCCATAATTATTGCATTTACATGTAGACTCTATTATGCGCTTAATTATAATATCACCTCTGTCACATAAAATAATATGTAATGTTCTTAAAATAATAAAAGTCGTTGGAATTGATCATGATTCGAAGATTTAAAAATCTAACACAACCTCTCTTAGATGTTTAGGAATATTGTTGGAATTGGGCACAATGTTAATTCGAACCCACGATCGTAGGTTTCTGGTGTGTCCAAGGGAGGCAACTCTGATGAGCAAACTCCGACACCTCAGACGACTGGGCCACCCGTGGCCCCGAAAATGTCTGTAAAGGATTTTCGTGAAAATGGGATTCTTTCCCGGACCTAAGAATTTAATACATATAGAGGTGTGTTGTGAAGCAACCACGTGCGGCGGAAATATCCGTGAAAAATATTGAACCATGCGATAAGTTTTGTCAGAACAGAAAAATTTGTGAACAAATAAAATGTATGTATATATTCTTTTAATAATGTAACTATAACAAATCAAACATGCATTGTGTTGGTCTTACATGAGGAGATATGGCGGTATATGTGCGGTTTAAATATTCTTTTTTTGAAGCTGAAATGATCGTCTTCCAAAATACTTCTTAGACGATGTGGAATCCAGTCACTCAATGTAGGGGTCGTTTTCTGAAAGTTAATTCGGGACAAAACCAAATTCCGCTCAGTTTTGAGATGATATACACGCGCAACTCACAGGGTATACGGGCTATACATATTCCAAAAAGTCCCAAGTATATTTGAGATGACCCCTGTATGATATCCACCGCTCTCACCTGCCAGGTGAAATAGAAAGGACCTGATTAATACTAATTGTCTTTACCTGTTAATTTGTAGAGTGTTTTGTGCTAAGGTTACCAGTAAAACCCTCTTTACCCATTAATACACGTGTTGATAAAAACTTAGGTCGAATGATTTTTAATACAAAATGCAGTTTATACTGCTAATTAATGCTCAAACTGAATGGATTCCGTCCATGTC